TCTTTTCCAACCGAGCGATTCTGTGATCTGCTGTCTGATTTCCATGAAACAATATATATCACGGGGATGGATTTGCAGAAGATCACTGTATTACTTGTTTAAGGAGATGAAAGACATGTTGCATTTGCATTTATATGTGTTTTGTATTCACTTTTCGGTTTTAAACAAGTAATGACTCTTTGGCAATATTTTTAGTGCCTTTTCACCATTTATTAGAACTTGAAAACCATATTTGGACAAGTAGTAATTACTATCTCAATTTAAATTTAAAGATGATAAATATTACACCACTATGTTTTGGCCTCTGAAGTTTGTTATCAAGGTGAAAGGCATGCCTCACTGTGAATGCAGTCTTCAAGCAGCAAAATCTAATTCTTGCTTATGTTGACAAACAGTGCAAAAGATTAATTTTGCATCCTTGGCATTTTGTATGATCAAAATGCCAAATTACTCTAAAATGTGAATCTATCATGCAGTTTTCAAAGACAAAAACAAGTTAAAAAAAAATAAAGGAACTTCCATATATGGGCAGAAAATACTGATCTTTGCCTTACTTCTGCAGAAGCAACAACAAATCCACAAGTTATAAATCTTCCATGCTTCTATGGTAGAATGCATTTGTTACCTCTTTAGTTTGCTTGCCTTTTTTATAGAAACAAGCCACAGAGGACAGAGCCACTGACAGTAGTAATGATATGATATGACTTCTCCCTTTTCTACCCTTTCCCCAAATTGAAAAGGAAAAAAAGAGAAACAAAATCTGAAACATTTTCAGTCAGGACCTCTGACTGTTGAGGTGAGTGGGTTATGTAGTACCTGAATCAACATACATAATCTGAATGTTTCAGCTTAGACTTCATTAGTCTTAGATAAATGTCTGCAATGGAGGATAAAGAGTGTTTTATTTCTTTTCCCTGGGGATTTTTAAACAAGTGTTTGTGACCCATAAGAATTACCTATTGGTGCATACTGGTAAAACACATTGCAAAACTTATGGTAGAAATACTGGTATTGAAAAGATTAAAATCCTTATGCATAAACCTCTGTGAATCTAACTGGAGAATTTAGGTGCAGTCTTGTGGCAATGTTTAATTTTCAGTGCTGTTGTGTTATGTTTTCTTGCCTACGTGTGGGGAATTGTATGGGAGATGATGTAGTGCTTGCAAAAATTGTGGATATTGGTGTCCTAGGGCTGACTAAAAGATTGCCTTGCCAGTGGTGGGTGTGCAGTGTGGATCTGCCAGCTGTTTTCCTCTTTCTCACCACCCTCATTCTGGCAGGCTTAGAAGTCTTTGTGATTTATATGCCCTCTTCTCTGCCTTCTGCCTCACTTTGGTAACTTATTTTTTTCTCTTGACCTGCCTGAAATTGCTTTTTTGAATCTCTTTATCTTTGGATTAATTACAGCTAATAGCCAAAACAACAGCGAGTCCCAAACTGTATGTTTTCTACAGCAGTACTAAGGATAGGAAGGGAAAGCAGTGAGGACCCTTAGTCGCTCTGGAGGATGTCTGTGGTTTGGTCTTACGAATAGCTAACAGTACTGGAATGGCATGAGGTAACTGCTTTAAATGGGGGAGTGAAAGCAAATCTCTAGTCATCTGGTTTGTGTGTGCAATCCACTTTTTAGTTCATGAGGGCAATGCATTGAGAAACTTTGTAGAAGCTGCTTTGTGATTATTTTCTCTCTTAGTAATGTTACCACAGTGATGCTGTAAGAATGACAACAGTGGTGTGAACACAAGCTATTTATTAGTTTCTTAAATATTTTGCAATGAGCTTTGAAAAAATGTTCCTAAGGCTTGCTGCTTTCTCTCCCATTTTGGTGGTCTTGTCAGTGTTGGGTTAACAGTTGGACTTGATAATCTTAAAGGTCCTTTCCAACCTAAATGGTTCTATGATTCTATGCTGAACTTAAATGAAATACTATTTGAGAAATTTTTACATACTCATTCTAAAGAAAGGTTTGTGAAGCACAAGTAGCTCTGTGTGCAGAAGGATATTTGCAGTATTTCAAGAAAATTGATTTATCAGAATAAATTTATCTTAAGAAACTTCCTAATGTTAAAGATTAAGAGGCATCAGAAAAGTATTTTATGTCAAACCATCTCTAGAACTTTTGGGATTTGGAGCAGGAAATAAGAAGATAAAGAAATAAAAAAAATTAAAAGCAAGAATAGGTTTCCAGTCAGACACATGACTCCTGTTTCTCTAAGGCCTTGACAGGTTTGACCAGGTAGTAGGCAGAGAATCTCTCTGCTTGTGCAGTGAAAAAGTTGTTCAGGGCTTGCCACTGCCTTGTATTCAAGTTTATTTCATTGTTCACATTTGAAGCTGCCAGTGAACTTCCTGTTGTTCTCATCTGAACAGAGATGGCCCTCATAGGCACCAATAAAACCTCAACAAAATGTCATGTAGGCTAAGAAAGGATTTGCTTAGCTGAGAAAAAAGCCTCATGAGCATTTCAATTTTTCTCTTCTGTTCTTCTTTATAATGATTCTGCACATTTTCTAGTCCTTATTATTGGTCAAAGCCTTGTGTCCCTATCTCGGAAACTTAGCAGGCATCTTTCCACCCATCTTCTTGATGGGATATGAGAGATTCATAGTTGGGAATAGAGGCTATGCTCTTAATACTGTATTTCATACAGTATTATTTTTTTTTTTCAGAATGTAATGAGTGTGTGTGTTTAGCTTTTTTCTGTTTAGATGGAACTACTCTTGCATACTTCCAAAAATCTACAGATAAATTAATGCAACATAAACAGCATGCACGCAGCAGTTATAACTCTTCTGCTGATGTGCTATTTCCCATGCTGCCCATAGGTCTAAGGTACTGGCCTGCAGGCTTCTATGTAGTTAAAAAAGTGGTTGGTGCTTCTGAAGAATAATGAGGTGATGCAGCTTTTATCAGAGCCATTTGTCTGGCTCATGTAGTTTAATGCATCTCTTTTAATAATAAATTCGGATGTGTGTAGTGATTTATCTGATTTTATAGAGCAGCTAAACATTAGAAAACTTCCTATAACAGTGCAGGGCTACCATAATTAAATGTTAGTAAACTTAAGCATGCGAATGAGAAAATTAATTCTTCAGTTCCTCTGCTGATGTTCATTGATCATAAATACAGGTTGAATTACAGTGTAATGAATGTATTTCTCCTTACAGGACGTAAGGGACGCTTTTACGTGACAGAATGGATGAACAGTCACAAGGCATGCAGGGGCCAACTGCGCCGTCATTTCAGCCTCAGGTAGGTACTTTACTTTTTTCTTTTTTAAAGCAGCTGCTCTTGTGGCGACAAAAGAGCTGTAAACAAAATATATTCTGGTGATCTTGAAATTAATTGAATATCAGTCCTATATTTCATAGAAAATGACTACTTTTCATTTTTGCCTCCTACTACCTCACCAACTTCGAGGGTTTGAAGATGAAGTGGAAGTAGGAAGCAAAGATGAAGGCAGTTGTTTTCCTGAGAAATGGTGAGCTGTTAAACACTGTTTCAAAATTGTATCAGAATTACCATATTGATGTCAGACTGTTACCTTCAACTTTCCCTTCTTACAAGCTGCCTGCTGGTGATTCCCAGTAGCTGTAGTTCTGTTAGAAGGAAGATGCATAAGAAATCTAATCCTTGGATGTGTGTTGATGGTGTGAAACAAGGGATAAAGGTTATCTGATAAAGATAATATTGGGGTATTGCTTTTTGACATTTTTAGGAAGTAATTATTTGAAGGGCATACAGAAGCCTGCAGATGAATACCCTAAAAACAGTTACTGCAGAGACCATTCCAAAGGAGAAGCTGGACAGTTCATAAAGCTGGAACCTAAATTTTGTAATTTTCATGTTAACAGCATAGTTAACAGGGCAATTTGTGCCCTTTATCTTACAAAAGCTAAGGAGAATTCTGGTTTGTGAGACTTAGAATATTTACAATAACTAGCTTTCCTTACCTCCTGTGTTTTTATTATAGCGTTGCGATAACAAAAAATACGGATTTAATAGTATATATACCAATGCAAAACAGTTAGGAATTGAAGATAAGTGTTTAGCTATGCATACAGATTTTTTTTTGAGAAAATTCATTTATAATGTCTAAACAAGTGAAAAAAAAAGGTGCTTAACATCCATATTATGAATGTCATAAAAGTTCCCCATTATTATTATAGTTTTTTTTCTTTCCTGACTTGAAAGAGTAAACAGAACTCAGCTGATTAAGGTTTCTTTATTTCTGGGAAACCTTCCTATGTTTTCTGTTTGCTGACTGCAAACAGGTTTCATATTTCTTCATCTGTCTTCTGAGTATTTGAATGCTTGTTTCCGATTCACACAATCAACTTTTTGAGGACTGGTTCAATTTTAGGAATATGACTGTAACATTCATACAAAGTTTATGAATTCATACTAGTAAAATAAGTTTCTAGTTTTACTGTTCTGGGTAATATGGCTTGTCTACATGTATCCAGTTTCTTCTGTGGTAAACTATGGACAGACCTAAAAGCAATATTACTGTAATCAACTCAACACTTTCTACAAAAGAAGAAACTAATATTTATTCTGAGCTTTGGTTAACTGTTAAGGTGCCTCATTATTTTGTAAATCAATTTCTCTGTAAACTGCACGAAGCATGATTTTTGTGATTTGAGTTTTCTTAAGATGGAAGGCTTTGGTTTTGTGGGTCTGAGCTGGACCTACATCAGAATATTGACTGTTTTGCATTTCAAGGAATAAAGAGTGAGGGGGGCAACCATGCTTTGATAGTCATATTGCCAGAGTAATCCTAAAACAATAATTCAGTGATGTTCTCGTCTTGTTAATCCAGATTGTTTTTTCTGTGAGCCAGATACATACTTTAATTCTTAAGGATTTTTCTGCTGATGGAGCATGCTTATGGTGGAAAACTAGTAATGAAGAGAGGTTATTTTACTAATTGCTGATACATTTAGGAGAAGCAAGAACTGGAATTGAAAATACAGGAGGTTATGAGCAAGAGGTGAGGTAATGACTTATGAAGAATTGTGTGTTGGGTTTTGATAAACCTGTGGATCTCTTTTAGTTCTCTTGGTCATTATATTGTGTAAGTTTATACTCCTATTCATGGCAAGTTAAATTACCTTAATCACTGGACATTGTTGACGAGGAGTATGAGAATATTTAACTAAACAATATAATGGCTTTGTCCCAGTTAGTTTCAAAACACCATTTCACAGAATCACTGAATGGTTGAGGTTGAAAGGAAACTCTGGAGGTCATCAGCCCTCCTGCTTAAGTAGGGTCTCTTAGGGCAGTTTTCCCAGGACCATGTCCACACCATTTGAGTATCTCTAAGGAGGGAAACTCCCCAGCCTCCCTGAGCAACCTGTGTGTGTGCTCAGTCACCCCCATAGGAAAAATGTGCTTCCTGATGTTCAGATGAAACCTCCTGTGTTTCAGTCTGTGCCCATTGCCACTTATGCTGTCGCTGGGCACCACTGAAAAGAGCCTGACTTTTTCTTTTAACATCCTCTCTTCAGGTATTTGTAGACCTTGAGATTCCATCTGAACCTTCTCTTCTCTAGGCTGGGTGTTGCCTGCGCTACAACTGAGAGCCTTTCCTCATACGAAAGGTGGTCCAGTGCCCTGATCGTTAGTGGCCCTTTACCGGACTCTCTCCAGTATGTCTATGTGACCCAGTATGAGTGGCCCAGAACTGGACACAGTATTCCTGTTGTGGCCTCACGAGTGCTGAGTAGAGGGGGAAGATCACCTCCCTCCACCTGCCGGCAACAGCCCAGAACATCATTTGCCATCTTTGCCACAGGGGCACATTGGTGGCCCATGTTCAATGTGGTGTCCACCAGGAGCCCCAAGGTCTGGCCTGTAAAGCTGTTTTCTAGCAGGTCAGTGCCAAGCGTGCTCTGGTGCATGGAGTTATTGCTGCCCAGGTGCAGGGCTTTGCGCTTCCCTGTGTTGAACTGCACGAAGTTCCCATCAGCCAATTTATCCAGCCTGTTGAATTTCCTCTGGATGGTGGTATCACCCTTTGGTGCATCAGCCATTCCTCTCAGTTTTGTGTCATCAGCAAACTGGCTAAGAGTGCCCTTTGCCTATCATCCAGGTCATTAATGAAGGTATTGAGCAGCAGGGTTGGGCCCAGTATTGACCCCTGAGGGGTCAATAACCTGTTAGATACTGGTCTCTAACTAGACTTTGTGCCATTAGAAGCTCATTTTCTACTTGGAGTGAAGTGCCTGACATGTCTGTCAGTCTGTTATCTACAAAGTTAAAACACTGTACTTATGAAGTAAGTCCTTACGTCGCAAGGATGTTTTGAAAGTGTGGATATCTAAATATTCCCAAATCTCTTGCATATTGTAAAAAGGATTATGTAAGAAGGTAGGAAAATATGGATTAATAGTCTGATACAGTAGACTGCAAATTCTAGAACTTCCTCAGGAGTAGAATGGGAGTTTTTTAGCATCTGAAGCAGAAAAAAATGACACTTAATAGACCTGTAAACCAAAGGCAGCAGATGTCCCTTACTGTTTGTGTGTTTTGTTGATAATTTTTTTTTCCCTATGATGATGAACAACGGTTTATCAAGTCTATTCTTGCGCAGAAGAGATTGCATATCTCTGCTCACCATTGCTGTTCCTCTTTGTTTTCTAGATCCCTTGTATTCCCTTCAAAATGAGGGGTCAGTGCAGTATTTAGTGTGCACACAATAGACTTAAGTAGTGAAGCATTTTGTTTTCTGTTTCATTAAATGCTCTTCCTAAAAATGGCTTCCTTTCTTTTTGATGATGACTGACCAATCAGTTTAACTTTTCAAGGAAATTTTTTCATGTTATTTTGTATACCATTTTCCTGTGTTGTAATAACTAATTTAAAAATAATGATTCTCTGTCTTGAGGATCATATTTCCCATTAAGTTACTGCTTGCTAGCCTTGGGATGCTAGTACTGAGTGCCAGGGTGGAAAAGGAAGACAATCATCTATAAGGCTTTACGGTCGTATTTTGAGCTGGTTGTCTTGGATAGGTTTGGAATGTAAAGAAACTTTACTGCTTCATTATATGTATTGAATAGTGCACTTTCCTTCGGGATTTCACTGGTAACTTCTCTGAGAAAATAATTTTTCTGCTGCTGTTTCTCATCTTATAGCTGACTATTAATCTACTCAATGTTCTCTCTCAGCCTGAAAGAGCTTAGTTTTATGGGTTAGGAATCCTTACAGAAGGAACCTGGTCAAACATTTTTTAAAACGTGTGGTGTAATTTCTTCAGCAGAAAAGCCCAATTAGGAAAAAACCTTTCCCACTCTGCCCTTAACTGCTTATTAGAATCTCTCTGTTTGGCTACATTTGAACTGAATTTGTGAATAATTTAAAATAAACAAATTGTTTTTTGAGTTGTCTTTTTAAAAATCCAGTTCAGTCTTTGACTTAGTCTAGTGCACTGGCACAGAGTAATGGAGCAGTACGGAGGAGCTTGCAGTGAGAGAGGACAAGGACCTCCTGGGA